TGTTTCTTACCACATAAGAGCTGAATATGCAACAAATTTTGAAAAGAGCAATGGATTATTTATGTATTTTGGACTGCATTCATAAATACAATTGTATAAAATTCAAAACATGTAAATCCCTTTTATTTATGATATATATACAGATAAAATGTTGGAGTTGTTTTTTTTATTCTTGTTGAGTTTAAATCTAAAGGTTATTTTATTAAAAGCTAGGAAATTAAAATCATCACATATATTTGAGGGATTATTATTCAGTTTAATCTAAATTTATTGTCGTTTTTATATGTCTGTATATATCTATCAGCCTGTCTATGAAATGCACATTTCATACACAAAGGAAGTACATTAATTTCCACATTGGAAGTTGGGTAGTGTATATAATTAGTAACATGTATAATTGAGTCAAATAAATTAAACAAAACTATATTTGCTGTGTCTCAAATTAAGAGAGATATGATGAAAACAAATTTGTGTAATTATAAATGTACTGGAAGTCTCAGGTGCTAATTATTTTGAACAAATAGACCCAGAATAATTTAGGTAGGCCCAATGATTAAAATCAGGTTTAACAAATTCACTCATGAAACCAGATATCAGATTTATAGGGAGGAATTTTAACAAGAACTAGGGAATCCATGTTTTCCGTAACAAGATGGGTGGCAGTAACCATATCTGTAGCCTCCATAGCCAGAGCCGTAGCCCAGACTACAGAAGCTGCCACATTGGTAGCCGTAGAGATAGCCCAGGCCACTGAAGCCTCCACAGCTGTATCTCAGGCCCCCTAATGATTACTGCAGTAACTCACAGGGTCAGCAGTTGCGTTTCCTGAGTATGAGTCTCGACACCTATGTGGAGGTCTTGTATCCTAAGTTATGGCCGTGGTAAATCATTCAGACCTACTACATTTTCATTCCTCAGAATAAACTGCATGAAACAAATATGATTGGCTCTTTTGTTTTGTTTCATTTGCATGGAGTTATCTTCCATCTCAGTGAAACTTTTAAATTAATATTGTAGCTCAATTAGGATTTCTCTGATTAGATCGTCTATAATGAGAAATATTATTTGCAACTTAAAAGACTCTTTTTGCTT